TTCCCGTTGTAAGATACTAGAATTCCACAAGAGGAGAACTCAGCCGAAGAGATTATGTTTGTGTCATGAATTATGCTGTTGGATTGTAAATTGTTTTGTCTTAAAATGTGCTATTAAATTACTTCAAACCCGGCAATGTAAACTATCGTTCCCAATGGCAAGCCATGATAAAGAAGGAGGAAAGATTTTTTTTTTTATTTTCGCAATCGTATATTTTTTTGGGGCCTACTAATGTAATTAGGTGATTTTGAAAACTAGTGGCGCAAATCGACGCATTTTTGGCGCAAACGATTTCTCACTAATTCCCAGACGCGATGCATCAATCTAATTAGCATACCTTTTAATTTAATGCTGCATGGTGAAGGATATTAAGTTCCTTTCAGGGACAGATTTTCAGATTGTATACTTTCATTTTGAAACTAATAGCTGGGACTATCATACTAAAAGTCCCAGCTAATATAGACACTGACGAAATATTTTATTACGATATTGTTTTATACCATTCGGATATATATTTTTATTAGTATTGTTTCGCAAAAGAAATTCAGAAAAAGTGAGTTGGTATATTCTGGGGCAAAAATTAATCGTTAGCTCTTAATACGTCTTCTTCTTTATCTTCTTTATAATTAAGGAGGGGCCTGATGGGGGGGGGGGGGGTCTCATCACGAATCACGAGTTGATTTTTTTGTCAATCACGATTCACAGAAAATAAATTTCCATGATCACGGATCACAAAAATATAAAAAAAAAATCTGTAGAAAAACGGATCACGATAGCGAAAATGCGCCGATCACGAAGAACGAAAATAACCCATCAGGCCCCTCATTAAGCACTCCTTTACTGTGAACTACTGAATGATGATAAATATGTAGGTTTATTGCCTTATGAACATTTAATATTTCATTTAAATGTACTGTTTTCGGTATATATAAACCAGAGACATATATACAGAGACATATATATGTTACAGGCATTTGCTAAATTTAGGCATTTTGTAAAATGACTGAATTTTCAGGCAATTTTTATTAAATGCCTAACCTTGACAGGCATATATATAAAATGACTAAAAATACCTAGTCATTTTGTAAAATGACTGAAATTTTGAAACAAAATTCAACAAATTGCCTGTTAAGTTTCAGCCAAGTTGTAGAAAAAGGATATCATTGAGATGCTTATGCCAAAAAGTGGACAAAAACACAACATCTTGCAAAGAAAATAACTAATGGTTCGGTAGAATGAATTCATTCTTCAAAAACCACCAGGGAAAGTTTGTATGTCATATAATATAGAAATAAGAAGATGTGGTATGAGTGCCAATGAGACAACTCTCCATCCAAGTCACAACGTGTAAAAAGTAAACAATTATAGGTCAAAGTATTCCTGACTTAGCACAGGTGCAAACAAATGCAGTGGGTTTAAACGTTTTAACAGGCGCCAACCTTCACCCTAACATGAAATAGTATTGAGAAAGCAAACTATAAAATATCAATTGAAATGGCTTAACTCAATCAAAAAGACATATTAACAAAAACAAGTAAACATATACTGAGCAAATAAATTTGATCCATGATTACACAATATAAATACAATATTAAATAAAAATGTAAAACAGTGTCAAAAAGACAACTTTATACAACCTTGGTCAAAATGGCGTTAAATGAAATAACGTACACAGGTAAATTTAAATATAACAATTTTGTTGTTAGGAGTACGGAGATATTTTTTAAAAAATAAATAAATTTGTTGTTCATAGTACGAGAACAGCAGTGGAAAGTTATTTTCATACTAAATACTTTGAAAAGGTAATGAAAGAGCTAATTAATACTCAAAGGTGGTACATATTAAAAATAGTGAGACGAGATATAACACAAAATTAGTAAACATTGAATAACAAAAATGCATTACAAATTGTGTCAACAGGTCAAATAAACACGAAAGTACGATTTGAAAGTACTCGCAGTTACTGAAAGCTAGTTAAAAGCCAATAACAATTAATAATAAAAAATCATGCATTTTTTTTTATAAAATCATGATATGTTGTTTTTAGTGAAACTACGTTTAGTATGTACTTACTCTGTATTTCAGATGGTAAATTTATGATTATTTTGTCAAAATGGCAGAAGGACAAATTTGTCTTTCAATAGGACAAAATTTACAAACGAAATTTTAGAAAATCCAGATTCAAAACAGTGAAGTGAAACATATGAAGCAGAGAAAAAGAAATTTGTTTTTAATTAAACAGTAGCAAATATTTCATGCATTTTAAGACGAGAACAATTTGGTTATAATTCATATGGGTTATTTCTGCATTGGATTAATCTGGATAAAGGATAGGAATTTCGACTGCCGCTTGAAATGAAGGTATTTTGGATAGGAACAGAAAATGCCACCTGCAGAACGTTCAAAGAGTTTTTAACGTGCAGAGAGTATTGCACTTTACTAACATGCGGCAATATATTCAATGTCCCCATTCAGAAAGAATGAGAATTTTTACATCCACATCCAAACAAATTCCCCTCTATAGCATGGGTTTCGCCAAACAAGGTCGTGTTTGGTTGTGATGCAAAGATATGAGTATCTTCATCTTCACTGCCTCAAGGAAATTCCTGGGTCTTTGCAATCTGATGAATTAATGAGACAGTAGTTAACTTTGGTTAAAATCTCGAAAATCGACCAAAAAGAGACAAATAACGGTGCATTAACAGGAAAGCGTCTCCTGTTATAGATGCATCACCCGTCGTGGGCAGATCTGCTTTAGTCCGTTAAAAGCTATAAGCCAAATGATTCAAGTCAAACTAAGCATGATAATGTATTTTGAATTTTTTGGGTAAATATGAAAAAGAAGATATTCATGTGTGACCTGTGTGCTTATCGCGAAACCCAATGTTGTCGAACGTTAAGGGCATACGATACAGTTTTGAACCCACGGTGATTTTTTTACGAAAATTTGCATACAAGCTATTTTTCACCTAGTCAATTCAAATATGTAATAAAAAAAATATACCTTCGTGTGCTACTTTAAGAGATAAATGGGGTCGAAATTTTAGACATTTACTCAAAATTTCGTTTTTTTTTTTGACATTTCTATCCTTTGGATAAACATACCTAACTTTTTTGTTTCAAAAGATCATAAACAAAAGCAGATTTTTGTAAAAACATTTGGAAAATGTTCTTTTTTTAAATTACATGAGTATGCTCTAAATTTGTATAACAATTCTTTGGAAATAATTAATTTTTATCAAAGTTTCATGATTTTAGAAAAAAAACCGGCATTTTTTGCTGTATATTTAAAAATTTTAAAAAGAATTCATCGGTGACTTTTTCATTGAAATTGGTACAAATAATCTTCATACGTAATCAAATCTAACGTTATTTTAAAAAAAGAGGGGTCCATGAACTCGTTTTCAAGTAAATCAGTCTGAATTAAAAAAATCAGTCGAAAAATACATCTTTTCCCGATTTGTCACAGTTTGACGTCGCGAAAATAACATTTTACATTAGCAACGTCATTACCTCCCATGTAACTGTATTGTATAAAGTAAAATTACAAAAAATCCGAAATCCGAGGAAAATTCTAAACGGAAAGTCCCTAAGTAAATGGCAAATTCAAAAGCTCAAACACATCAAACGAATGGATAACAACTGTATGCCCTTAATTGTTTTAGCAGATAAGGTAATGAAAGAGCTAATTAAATGTGAATTAAATGTGTCATTATCCAGGTTCTCCGGCCAAATGTGGTCGAAGTGCTAAAACCAGATTTTACGCCAAACAATGTATTTGCAAAAAATCAGGACAAATATTGTGTAACAGTTCTGTCATCCAATCATTTTAAGAAATAACAAAATAATAATTGTCGAGTTCATGATCAGTGCTTGTGTGAATTTGGAATAATTCAGTAAAACCATGGAAGTATTATATTATAATACTTCCATGGTAAAACTAATTTTTGATTATTAAAAGTCTTAGATTGCAAGCTTTAACATTCAGTAATAATCATAAATAAAACTTCTCTTGTGTTCAAAGCTTACAATTGTTTTTTTTTTTAAATTTATTCTATAAAATAGTTTCAGGCATTTTGTTAAATGCCTTTCAATTTTTCCAGTCATTATATAAAATGACTGAATCTTGCAGGAAAATGTCCAAAGTTTTAAGGCATTTTACAACATGCCTAAATTTAGAAAATGCCTGTAACATATACACATACGTCTCTGGTATAAACACGATAAATGTCATGCCGCTCATCAAGGGTCCTTAATTTGGAACAATATAAATATTCTTACCACTACCATGACTACAAACTTAGAAGAAGAAAAAAACAATAACTGAGACTTCTTTATATAGTAGTCTCTGGCAATAATAACAACAGCTGCTGGTTTAAAAAGAAAGAATATCAAAATCCTAGATTTTTTTTTAATTTTCTAAAATTAATGCATTTAGGGACTTATCATTTTTTACCTGGGAGGGGTGCTAGTCGTTTTGAAATCAAAGATATAAAATTTTCTTGATCCCCTCATAATATTTCACTATTTTTATTTCATCTCCCCCTTAAAATAATTTTTAAAAAAATGTGACCCCTTCTATTACACATGCCAAAATTTTTACATGCAAAACACTTACCATGCTTACCTTTGACCATATCTATGCTTTGACACACATGAAATATAGGATATACTTGAAGATTCAAAAGTTCACAAATGTTTCATTAGAGATAAAATTGATCCCCAACTTTGAATTTATATAAAAAAAACTTGACCCCCCCCCCCCCCCCCCCGACATTTTGACCAGCCCCCCCCTTCCCAGGTAAAAAATGATAAGTCCCTTAAAATCAGTTAATGATCCAGTTCCTACCGGGCATGCCTTTTCTAGGCGCATGGGTTGTCTTTACCAGAGACATATATGTCTCTGTCTTTACTTGGAATACATTTATTTTCGTTTCTGTTTATTATCTTCTTCCTGGCGTCGTTTGGTGATTGGTTATATTAATTTAGGAGTTGTCTTTCTTTACTCACGTTTTGTCAACAAGCCAAGCAAGAACTATGTCGTATGAAAAAAGAGGTAAACATATAATTTGTGTCCGTAAATGTAACCTTTTCTGTAAAAAAATACCTAAAAAAAGATGTAAGATCAATTTCGAAAATAAAAGGGTTTGTCTTCTAGCTTCTTCTTCTTTTGTTAGTATTATCCTTCCATTTAGGAACACCAAGAATTTCTTGTAACAATAAACGTATATACACTATTTACAGGTTCTCCATAGGTCCTCTCAGAGAAATATGTACATGTATACACGACCCAAGGGTCACTCAATACTATTCTTTAAAATCTAAAACTGGTCTCAACACTATAAGTAAAGTTTATAGAATAAAAGGAGCAGAATATTTCATCAGGTATACATGTACTTGCAAAAATATTTTGATTCATATTTCAGAGTTTTTTAAAGTTCGTCTTAACAAATGGACAAACACAGATACTGTACACTCAGTAACAATGTTTACATCTATTGTTTTGTAGATATCTAGTGTCATATTGTCCATATCAATCCAATACAACTTTACCTGAGAGGGGGAATCTCAAAGATTTTACCTGACTTAGACCCCGTTCACACTAGGACATTTATATCGATTTAAACTAGATCGGTTCACTTTAGATCGGTTTAAGGGCTAATGTGAACGCTTTGAATCGATCTTCAATCGGTCTAAACAAAAACACCAAAAGAGGTAGTTTAGTTTGAATCGATCTAAAGTGAACTGATCTAACTTTAAATGTGAACGCAAAGATCGGTTTAAACTAGTACGATTGAATCGAAAATAATCTATGCGCATGTATAGCGACAAAACTACAAGTGTAATAACATAACACGTACCCAGTATATATCGGTGGTTCGTTGTTTAACCAATATTTCTCTTTTTGAAAACAGACCTTTGTGTACATGCAAGTAAAAACAAACGGAAAAAAAGTTGTCTTAGCCGTACCATAAATTTGTGTGTCTTCTTTTCTTCTGTTGTTTTTGTTGACCTTTTTTTTGTTGTTTTTTTTTTCAAAACCGGAGCATTTCTTCCTTGCTACAGTTTTTTGTTTCAAAATTAATGAAAACTACATGAACACCAGTATCAAAATTTGAACTTGTGATTCAAGAGAAACAATAACTTCATATGTCGATAGCATTTTTAATTGTAGTGTGAACGCAGTGGTTCAGATTAGACCGATAGAAATCGATATGGTTAAAGATAATGTGAACGCTAACTGGATTTATTTAGATCGATTCAAATTAGATCGATAAAAAAAAATGCTAGTGTGAACGGGGTCTTAGACCTTCTGCAGGAATTAAAAAAAAAAATGCCATTCAAATTTCCAAAAAAGTTTTCTCTTTCTCAAACACAAAATTCATTTAACTTTTATATAAGAACCTTAAGTGCAAGATAATTCCATGATATCTTCTTTATGTACTTAGTACAGAATTACATGTATGGCACTTTCATACAGAATACATACATGACATGCTTGACATATATATACACCCTTTTGTAATTCATTATCCTCCTGTTTTGTTTCAATGGTTTTGCAGAAATGAATATTTAAGCTTGATATTCTTTTTCCTTGCTGAATGGCAATGAGAGCTATAGATCTATTCCAGAATCGCTCCAGACAAAAACTTACCAAATTTAAAATGCAATTTTTAATTTTTGCAAAACCTATCCCGTCTTATTATTTCCACAATATTAAAAAAATAACAAAATTTCTGAATTGATACATTTTTGTGTGGGATAAGATTGAAACAAAAAATATTCCCCCCCCCCCCCCCCCCCCCCCCCCCCCCCCGAAAAACTATAATGAATTATTACTCTTTTTAAATTGCAATTAAACTCATCTTGTTTCACTAAATAAGGACATGAAAAACACGTTCCTATCTTGCCCAAATTCTTGAGTACCGGTATGAAATTATAAAAATGTAAGTGATTATTTTTATTTGCAGGTTATCCTGACCAGGAATACCCCCCTCAAGAAGCCCCTCCAGCCTATAATCAGTCCACTCCTCAATACAGTTGGCATGGACAAAGCTATGCACCACAACCACAGGATCACCCAGGCTTTCCTCCTGCACCACCTACAGGCTATGAAACACAATACAGAGTTGTAAGTGGTAGTATTTGATGATAAATATTTAGTTATTATACCAGTATACCATGTATACTGTACATGTATCTGTAATCATTTGTAGTCATATCCTGGTAAGTACAAAGAAAACGGAGTAAGCACAGACAGATTCCTGTACATATGATATACCTTATATGGTGATAATTGATTTTAGCAGGTGTCTTAATTTTTCCCTATTTTTCAAGGTAGACATTTTACCAATTTATTTACCCAATATGAACATGATGAATATTTTACTACAGTATCCATTAAATCTTTTTAATCCTGAAAACACATTGAACTTTTAACTGTTCCTTCTAAGGCCTAAACTATGAAAAAAACAGATGTGTAAGTAACCAGATACATGCATATGGTGTGTCAAGTGGAAAAAATATGTTGAATTTTTTTTATTTTGGAATGAAAATGAGTTGTAAATTTTGGAAATGTTTTTACTTATGTTCCTCTTGATGAGAGCAACATATTTTCCACAGCTCATAGATTCCAATGCAAGCTCTAATGGGTGAAAGGGGCCTAAATCACACTTTTTACATCTTACACGAAAATATATGTATAAAGAATTAAATTACTGTAATCCAGCACATTAATTTTTCAAGCAAGTAAATGTCCACATTGCTTTTTGATACACACTTGTTTAACTTTGACATGTAAACAGGTTTCAGTTGTATCATCATGCCCTCAGAGTAGCTCTTTATCAATTTTTTTATTCAAATTATTGTTTGACTTCCTGTTTATGCAGATATTCTTGTATACTAGTCCTGCAATGAATTCTTCATTATTTTGAACGTAAGTATTAGTTATGATTTTTCACTTAAATTAATTATTCTATATGTATGTATCAAATCTATTTATGGTCTTTTCATCACAAAAGTTGGGTATAGATGAAATATTTACAAATACTTTAATTGGATGCAAATAGAAAAATAAGAGGATTTGTTCTTTTATTTTTTAGGTGGCACCAGGAATGGTTACAATGGCAGAACCTCCACCCCCAGATTATATGACAAGGGCCATAATGGTGACTGTGTGTTGTTTTTGGCCTATTGGTATTTTTGCTATCATGAAAGCCAGTGAGGTTTGTATTTCTATGATTACGGAAAATTTGAAGGTTGTTAAAAAGCATTTTAAGTACATTTATCATGAAGCATGGTATTTCCAGCTCACCTGGCCCAAAAGTCATAGTGAGCTTTTCTCATCGCTTTTAAACATCTGTTTATTGTCTGTTTTACTTTTGTCAGATACATCTTAGTAGAAACCTAAAATAAATCTTCTCTGAAACCATGGGGCCAATTGAAACTTAATTTAGGCACAATCAACCGTAGGGTCTCATTTTTAAAATTATATTCGCTGTTTGAAGTACAACTGATCAACAAAAAGTTGTTACTAAAAAGGGATCCTTATAGGAGGTATTGCCTTTGAATGACGATTTTTACCCATTTTTTTTTGGATTGGCAATCAACTTGAAAACTTTAATACGTAAAAAGAACTGGTACCAGCATACATGATCTACAATTTAGTCAGCTAACCACACCGTCAATTTCCTCCTTACCATGCTTATATATACAAGGTAGTTTCCTTAAAATAAATTCTATTTTAATTTTGCTTATTATCTCAAAAACAATACTACAGAGAAAGAGATAGAGTTATGAAATGATTTTATAGTGATTAGATAGTGAGGTTTATTTTACATTGATATTTGAACAGTAGGCATGGGTAATTGATTTTTGAACAGAAAGTATGGGTAATTGATATTTGAACAGTAAGCATGGGTAATTGATATTTGAACAGTAGGCATGGGTGATTGATATATAGAACTTTTACAGTGATGAATACTATTTTGAACTAAACTTGAAGGTATTGTTATAAGTTTTAATGAGCCCAAAAATAGTACTGCAGATCAAATCATCATTAATATGAATGAAATATTGACCACTGGATATTAAGAAACCAGCAATTAATTAATTACGCAATGCTACTTTTTTACTACCAGATTTCATTGCCAGTTCATGAAATGTTGCATACTAACTCTTTAGATAATATATTGATGTCCAATGTTTTTCAGAGTAAGTCAGCATATGCTAGGGGTGATCTTGCTGGTGCCAAAGAAAACTCCAGATCAGCAAAACAGCTATCCAACATTGGTATTGCTGCTGGTGTTGTCTCCGTGGTCATCTTAGTAATTATCATGGGTGTGTACTTTGGCCTGATTTTTAGTTCTTCTAGATTTGGTTAAACAATTGAAGAAATCGACAAGAAACAATTGATGATATCTCAATTTTATAGCTAACCCTTTTGAAGTGTTATATGTATAAAATATTTGGATCGACTTATATTTTTTAATTATATTGATTAATACATATCATAATAAGAGATATTTTTAATCTTTTAAAGTCATGTGACAGACTTAACAATTTATAAATGCATGTAAGGAATACATGATACTGATATGTAAACAAATTGTTGAAAAACTGTGTCTTATTAAATTATGTCAAATAAAGTTTATTTAATGTACATGCCTAATGTGGTTGTGAAATATTTTGAATGTGCAACATAGTTTTAACAAACAAAGCGAAGCTTTTACTTGTCAGATCTGTTATTCATTTTTTAAACCTGTGGACATTTTTTTTATAAAAGATATGATTTAGTATTTATTTGATACATGTATATTAATTTTATGAAAATTTCCGGGTAATGTTTTATACCTCTCTTACATAAGTATTTTATTAAAAATTTTAATTTATGGTAATCTTTTTAGGGATACTTTTCTACTTAACAAGAAGAGGCAAAATATTTTTTATATTTATCTTGTTATACCACATGCATGATATGCATTATTTCCTTGGAATTATATTGTTTGATTTTTTTTGGGTAAATTTGCAGGTCTAAACATGCCCTAAATGTTTGAATCTCTCTGCTTTAGTTATGTTCAACAATGTAAATATTATCACAAATTTCAATATTGTACCTTAAGAAAACACTGAAGTTTTATTTTATTTCAATCCATTGAAGAAATTTTATCAATGTATTTTATGAAAATTATAAAGGATAATTAGTTGAAGTATCACGTTCTAATGAAACATTTAAAGCAAAAAATTTTGTATAGTAAATGAAGTAATTTGAAAATATATTAAAAATGTATTGGACAGGCGTGAAATGAGCATTTTACAATGATGTCAGTTAGGTTTAAGAGGCTTTTAGTAGAAATATTTCTATAGTGTTTTTTGTTGTTTAGTTATTGGTTACATATATTTGTCTGTAAATATATTTTTTACTAGACCATGATATTAGTTGATTTTTTCTTAATTAACAATTAATATATTATTGCTGGGTTTATTTTTTTGGCAGTTCTGGTTAAAATTCTGTAATGGTTTTAGATCAATCATTTCAGTTTAATTGACACATCATAATACCCTAGTGGTTTAATAATTTATCCATAGATGCCAACAATTACCATTTTCAGTAATTGTTACGAATTTTGAACCAAAATTATGGTGTTACGATTAACAATCTACTTGTAACAGATTTTTGTTCCTTACCTGCTCGGAACAGTTCCCTGTTTAGATAGCATTTTGATCATTGTGACCTTTCATTTTTGGTTATAATTTTGAAACAATAAGCACTTGAAAGATTCAGATTATTAAATTCTATCGGGGTTTCTCGAGACTATCTGTAGTAGAAAGTGATCTGTCCATTTCTTGTGTATTCCGAATAATTAATGAACGTGGCAAGTATGATGTATGACGGAACAATGGAATTTCTGCAGTAAGGAAAGAAATCAGAAAGTGGGATAATATGCCTTTTGCAAATATTTTGTAAAGAAGAGTTCCATTTAGTGCGATGGTCAGTGTTCCTCACTTGCTCATCAACTTTGGGTCGTAGTTGTTATAAATAAAGGAAGTCATTTGTCACTGTGTGCCTAGTTGTCTGTATTATTATTATAAAATTAATGGAAAAAATATTATTACTGAAAAAAGATCATAAATTACGGACATCTTAATACATTTTTACTGATTGCAATAAAGGAAGGTTGGCATCTATGTTTATCATTTATATTTTTGGCATTATGTTTTCTGTGTTTTGATTAATTAATTGTCAAGGGTATTACTTGTGTTATTTTTAATTGTCAAGGGTATTACTTGTGTTATTTTTATGCTTATAAGTGATCATGTATATGGACAAGAAGATAAGACCTAGGCAGCAATGCAGAAATATTCTTCAGTTTTCAAACCATACAATTCTTTTGACAGTTTGATTCTCGAAATAGTATATGCTGGATAATATACTTATACCAATGGCAAATTATATCCTGGAAACAAACGTACAAGAATGATTATTATTTTTAACTACTAACACATAAATAACATATTCTATTGTCAAACAATATATGTGACAATGTGGATAAAAGATTTACTATAACTATTCCAATTCATGATAAACATGTAGTCATTTTACTTATAATCCACACATGGAACAAACCCATAGAGTTTAATTTCAATTGAAAGGAGGCATTCGACTTATGGCTTAAATGCAATAAATTTTTTTATGAAATCAGTTTTTTAATGCATTAAACATCTGTCTAAATTCCTGACATTTACTATTGCTATTTTATGATGCTTTCAATATGAGGCTGTACATTTTTTTTTATATAATCATATTTTTTATACGAATAATTACAAAATGACCAGATGTTACATTCCCATATTCTTTGTTATTGTGATTATAAAATCTTACTTTACAATTATAAAATTATTGTTTCCCAGTAGCAGAGCAGACCAAACTAATATGAAGAAAGAAAAGAGTTATCATTCTTAGTATATTGTTTAAAAATCAAAATGTTTTTTTTTGTTATCAAGAAAAACTTAGACTTATTTATAAAAAGATTAGGAATACAATTTAAAATATTTTTCAAATTAAGGGCCTTTTAAAGGCAACATGACAAACAGTTCTAAATTGTTTTCCTTAAAATCTTAACTGATTTAAATACTACCTTGATAGTTATCAAGTAGTTTAATTATTATTTTTATTAAAATAATTTCTCTTTTGAGGCATTTGACAACAAATGTTTGAATCAAGTTACTCTACGTAAATTATCATCATGTTAAGAAAGCACTTCCGAAGAAAGCAAACAAAATATAAAACATGTTTTTATCATGTTAATGTTTGCAAAATTGTAACCATGACAGATGGCAATTATTTTATTATTTTGTTTCTCATATTTATATGTGGATCAATGTTTAATTTTATGTGTTTTTTACTAAGTAATGTATATACATATCTATTGTTAAAATACTATGTTGGTATGTTAAAATATAACTGTTAAAAGCAAATATAGTTTTAATGACTTTTTATGCCTCGGCCACCAGTATTAATTTACCCTTGTTCATCCAATCAATCAGTATGTCCGTCCTGAAATTGGTTACTGTTCTCTAACTTTAGTTTGCCTCAACCAAATGCTATGAAACTTATACACAATGCTTATTACCCCCAAACACAGATAAAGTTCGAATTTGGGTGGCATCACTTTCACTGTTCTTGAATTATATCCCTTTATAAATGGAAAAATTGATGAATTTGCCATTTTCCATTTTCTAACTTTAGTTTGTCTCAACCAAATGTTATGAAACTTATACACAATAATTTTAACCACCAAACACAGCTCAAGTTCGAATTTGGGTAGCGTGACTTTCACCAATTTCGAGTTGTCCCTGATTTTATAGTTCACTAAATATGAACATGTGAATGAATGAATCAGATACAGTATACAGGAATCTGATGTTCAGTAGTTATCGTTTGTTGATGTGGTTCATAAGTGTTTCTCGTTTCTCATTTTTTTATATAGATTAGACCGTTGGTTTTCCCGTTTGAATGGTTTTACACTAGTAATTTTTGGGGCCCTTTATAGCTTACTGTTCGGTGTGAGCCAAGGCTCTGTGTTGAAGACCGTACTGTGACCTATAATGGTTTACTTTTATAAATTTTGACTTGCATCTTCTTATATCTATGTGATGGTGCAAGTGGTTCAAGGTGTCATATGGACACATGTTTACTAGTATTCATTTTACAAATTCACAGTTCAATTTTGCAAACATAAGTAGTCGGCCCTGAATACTGTATCTGATTCATTCATTCAATCCAATAATATTTCCAATTGATAAAAAAAATACACTATTACATCACTCAGAGCTATAGAACAAATGAAAAACAAAATACAGCAACCTCAATCTCGTTCTCAGACATTCTATTTTCATGTGTGTCTGTGCGAATTCTATGCCACTGTCATACAAGTGAGAGGTTTAGCTACCTATAAAACCAAGTTTAATCCACCATTTTCTACATAAGGAAATGCCTGTACCAAGTCAGGAAGATGACAGTTGTTTCTAATCATTTGATGTGTTTGAGCTTTTGAATTTGCCATTTGATAATGGACTTCCCGTTATAAATTTTCCTTGGAGTTCTGTATTTTTTTTTATTTTACTTTTTTCCAAATCCTTTATGAAGCATTAATAAACCAACTTTGCCAGGTACAGGTAGAAAGTATGCATCCATCAAGTAATGTGAAATTCTAGGTTCTTCTAAATAACTTTATATTTTTCAATTATCATCAAAAGAGAGGCGAAAGATATCAAAGGGACATTCAAACTCATAAGTCGAACATAACATTACAACGCCATGGCATAAAAAGAAAAAGACAAACAACAGTACACAAACACAACATAGAAAACTAAAGACTGAGCAACACGAACTCCACCAAAACATTGGGGTGATCTCAGGTGCTACTGAAGGGTAAGCAGGTAATGCTCCACATGTGGCAATGATTTAAGCAAAACAAGTAATTTTACAAAATAATTAAAGAAACATCTCTTAAGCTTCCTGTCTTTGAACAAACATAAGATTGATAATTTGATTGGTGTTTACCTCACTTCCAGTGGCAAATATTTCATGCATATACAGGACGAGAACAAATTTACAACATTGCAAAGTGGGACGACCAGGATGCAAGGTGAAGTTACTGCCACTGCAAAGTGAATATATGTTGGATAGGTGCAGACATTTTGCCTGGCAAAGAGGCAACCTTTAGACCCCTCAGAGAGTTGTTGCTATGATTCTTTGACGTACAAGGAGCATGGCAATCTCCCTACACGAGGCATCAGATGTAATCTTCCCATTCCGACTGTATCTAGCTGCGTATATAGATAACCATTTGATATTCATGGAGAGGTGGGTAGGATGACTTTTTGGGGATTGAATATTTATTTTCATCAGTTGCAACACATATGCTTCTTTTTTCTAATGTACTGCATTTTGTGTTGAAGAATAATAATTTTCATCCATGTCTTGGGTAGGATTATTTATTTTCAGTTCTTACCAGGTCAGGATATTCATTTCAAAATTATTCTTGCCCACCAGAAAATCAAATAGTCATCCATAGCCAAATGGACGCCCCTCTTGAACATGTGTTTTACTGCTTGAATCAAGAAGTCCAGCAATGACCACATGTCTACCGGTTTTTCATAATCAATAACCTTGGGTGAACAAACATAATGTACAACAAACTTAATGTAAATTAGAATAAGTCAACTCAACAGATAGGAAAAGACCTTTTGATGCTCTAGAGGGGGCCCTGAGGATTTTGGAAATAAATATTCTGGTCTGATAATAACTGGAAAAAGTTAACACTGCCCAAAATAGAAACCTAAAAAATTCTCTATATGCATAGCTCTGATTCCTTGTTCTGGTTTGGCTTTACTCTATACCTATGTATTTTGGTTAATTGAGAACAGAGATCTACACAAACTGTAAACAAGTCATTCCAATATCATTACCATCCCCACTGTACAAATGAAAGAGTATATATCAAGAGCTAATAAAATTTTATTATTTCTTTAAAGTAATATAACATGTATAAAGGGTTTATAGATGTTTATTTACAATAGTCTGAACACCACACCATATGGACATTAGATTTGAAGCACACCCACACAGCAGAAATCAACACATTAACTTAATTGAGGTAGGTCGTGGGTCTTCAGCCATCTTGGATTACAAAATAGTAGAACACAATCGTTCAAGATATTTAATAAAATATGCAAATTTTGAGAGAAAGAAAGATATGTAATTTATTTGTTTTATTACAAATACCAAATTCATGTCATTTATTTAATAATTTTTACTCTTTTAAAAAAACCACAGACCATTTTTGTATGATTAGTTTTTTTTAACTTTCCTATTTAAGAAATAACCCAACTTTTTTAAAGAAATGTGTTGTTATTTACCTATTTTGTTTTGTAGCAAGCAAACGATTCCCATGGCCTATTTTTATACGACCGCAACGTATAATGTTATGACGTTGTCGGCGCCGTCGTCGTCATCGTCGTCGTCCGAAGACATTTGGTTTCCAGACAATAACTTGAGTATTCGTTTATGAAATTGTACCACAAGGTTTCATACCACAAAAAGAGGTTGGGATTGATTCTGTGGGTAATAGTCCTAACTGTTTAGGAATTAGGTGCAAAAAAGGAGTCGACAACAAGCATTGTTCTTGTTTCAGGGCAATAACTTGTGTATAAGTGTATAGATCTCTGTGAAATTGTACCACGAGGCTCCATACCTTAAAAGCAAGGTTGGGATTGATTTTGGGGGTTATGGCACAAACCGTTTAGGAGTAAGTTGCCAAAAAGGGGCAAAAAAAAAACTAGGACTTTCCGGCCAATAACTTGAGTATAAGTCTTATGGATCTCTATGAAATTGTACCACTAGGTTTCATATAAAAAAGGAAGGTTTTAATTGATTTTTAGGGTTATGGCACAAACCGTTTAGGAAAAAAAGGGGTAAAAAACAATACTTTTCTAATACTTTGTATAAATTGGTTATTTCTTGACCAATTTAAATGGGGTTTAATTCAAAGTCTTAAATTCTTGGAGTTCTTTAATATGCTGAATCTCTCCGTGTATTTAGAATATTAATTTTGGACCCCGTTTTCAAATTGGTCCACATTGAGGTCCAAAGGGTCAAAAATTGAACTTTGTTTGATTTTAATAAAAATTGAATATATGGAGTTCTTTGATATGCTGAATCTAAACGTGAATTTATATTTTGGATTTTGGGCCCCGTTATCAAATTGGTCCACATTGAGGTCCAAAGGGTCCAAAATTAAACTTTGATTTCACCAAAAATTAAATTCTTGTTTTTTTTTTGGTATGCTGAATCTAACCGTGTATTTTGATTTTGGATATTGGACCATACTCATTGATAATAATAGGTAAATGTCCACTATCAATTTTTTAAGTTCTTAGACCACATTCATTCTATATCAGAAACCTATGCTATGTCAAATATTGAATCACAATCCAAATTCAGAGCTGTATTGTACAATTAATAGAAATTGTAAGTAGAGTCATAGTTAATAATAGATACAGCATCAAATTCTAATTTTAGAGAAGAAATTATGTATAAATATAGTTAGAAATTTACAGTTCATTATTAGATATTTTAAAAAATAATTAATGATGTAAAGATATTTTAGAAATTGTTTTTTTTCATTTGTTTTGTAAATCGTTTTAAGAACTTCATGGTAGGTTTGTTTGTTATCCTGTATAAATTATTTTTTAGAATGATATATATATATATATATATATATATATATTTGATGTAGCTAACCCATAAATAAATTAAATTCTTGGTATACTTTGATATGCTGAATCTAACCGTGTATTTAGATTTTGGATATTGGACTATGATAGGTAAAAGTCTCATTTCAAATTTTTCAGTTCTTTGAGCACATTAATTCTGTGTCAGAAACCTATGTTGTGTAAAAAATTTAATCACAATCCAAATTCAGAGCTGTATCAAGCTTGAATGTGGTGTCCATACTTGCCCCAACTGTTTAGAGTTCGACCTCTGCGGTCGTATTAAGCTGCGCTTCGCGGAGCATTTTATTTACTATTTATTTTCTGAAAGCACATTAGAAGACCTATCGTCTCATATTTTATCTTAACATGTTTTTGCTCTATACACAAAATTGATTTTTCCAAGCATAATCCATACAAAATCTGTAGAACACGTAGTTTGAAAAAAAGATCCTTGAACCACACATTTTATTTGAAAAAAAAGTTAAAAACGCATGATATAAACTACATTTCTGCCGATTATTAAAAAATCTATCGATTTCATTTAAGCAAATATAGGTCACCGTACGGCATTCAACAATGAGCAAAACTATACATGATAGTAAACTATATACTTTAAGGTCCCGGCGTGACACAATGTTTCTATTTAACAAAGCCAGGTATTTTGCGTTTTGATTTAGGTAACACAAGTAATGTATATA